GCGGAACTCGAGCAGAGCCTTCTGGTCGAACTCGCGATCGTGGATGATGCACATTTGCTTGAGGAAGGTGGACTTGGCGGTCTCGCCCACGCCCAGCAGCAGGATCTTGACCAGGCGCTGCACCGCGCGCCGCACCGCCGGCCCTGCAGGCCTCGGCCTGCAGCAGGCCACAGCTGAGGGTCCGCACCACCCCGGACATGGCCCCTCAGGCCGCCGCGGCTCCGAGACCTGCACTTACCTGGCAGTCTTTTTCTTTGCACCTGCTCTTTGGCCTAAATCCGATTCTCACATTTTGAGGTTTTCCTTGGGCCCTCCCTTGATCTCTTTGAGGAGCCGGGATGCTGTCCGTTTCCTAGAACTGACCACCTGCTCAGGTGAGGAAGGAAGGAGGGGGTTGTACTCCCCGCTGGGAGGAGGGATCCTGGTGGAGGTCAAGTGTCCATTCATCAGCGAGTTCCCAGCAGACAGCGCAGGTTCATTCTTCGGGATTGACCCCAGGATTCTAGCCATGGGGACCCCAGAGAGGAGCCCGTGACCTAGCGGAAGAAGAGATTGTTTCCTCGGGGCTATGTAGCGTCTAGGTAGTGAAGGCACACGACCCAGATGCAGGTTGAGCAGACCGTGAGCAGGACCAGGGCGAAGGGCAGGCCCAGGCGTGACCCAAAATCCAACTGAGTAAAAAAAAATGCCCATTGAGAGCTGGTTGTGTGGCCTGAGATCGCGAGGAAAAGTAAGCCGCAAAGACAAGTCTCCTTGGCAACCGAGTCCTCTCTCAGCCAAGCATACATTGGCTCGTCCTGCGCCTGTGACGTCTCAATGGGGCTCGTGACAGAGACGGGGCAGCAGGGAGGGCGCGTGGGCCCTGCTGAGTGCAAAGAGGAGATGACAACGGGCACCGCGGGAGGCCCAACCGCGGGAGGCCCCACATAGCACCAGCACCAGTTGTTTTTTTCTTTATATATTCACATAAAATTGCCACAGATACATAAGACTTTGAGTTGGGCTTTTAAGCAGAACCTTATCACCTATCTCTGATGATCTGATTAATCATGCAAAGGACACAAACTTTGGTCTATTTTGAAGAGCATCTAAATTCCCTTATAGTTATTGCTGTCTGTAGATTACAATCAACATTTTTTTTTAATAATTAATCAGTATTTTTATTATAGTTTTGTGGGGTACAGTTAAGGGTTAGGTGTACAATTACGTTTCATTCAGACACCCTGTCGATAAGAGGTGTTTTCCCAGCCCCAGACAGATATTTGCTACTGTTAATCCCCTCTCCCTC